TTAAACTCTTTTTGCACAGGAATACTGCTAATTTTAGCATCAACCTAAACATAAAACTTATTTGCCAATAAAAAAAAAGATCTGTAGACTTATAAATAGCTTACTCCTCAGGAAATACTTTAAATGGAAAAAATCTCGCATTGTCTCACACACGTATTCTTATAGGATTAAGTTGGAAAGCTCTTTCAGAGCTGCAGTGAAAATATATGGCTTAACATTCTTGTTCTGCCACTTACCAGAAACACGACACTGGCAAGTTACCTAAACTCTTGGAACCCTAGTTTTCTTATCTAAATAAGGAGAGAAATAATAGCTAATAGGAAGGATTCTTATGAAAATTAAATAAGATAACGGTCATGGAGCAACTTCTTTGGTGCTTGGCACAGAGTGGCACAGATCCTCTCTGAAAGGTCCCTTTTTCTCTAATGGAGCTCTCTTTTTGCTTGTAATGACTGGGTGAAATGTTAAAATCTTCATCACACTGGAACCACTCAAGCATACCTAAAAACATGACCCTCCATACTTCATCTAACACCAAAAAGGAGACTATTTTGAACGTGTTACAGGAGATTCAAAGATAAAACACTTGGTGTTTGCCATTGATGAAAGTTTCAGAGGACAGACAGATACCATGAGAAATTCCAACGTGAGCCTGTGAGTGACTAAATGAGATTACTTTTCTTTCTGTTGTCTACAATAGGAGCCAATCTAGAAATGGCCCAAAGGGCTATGTGAATTCAGAGACAGAACTGATAACTGTTGACTCAGGAGGGGTTTATCAGTGACTTCACTGTAACGGTAACAGCAACAGCTGTGACGGATCTTGAACGATAACTAGGATGTTGCAAGCCACTGAAGAGTTCATGTGTGCTTGTGGGAAGAGTGGAGTCAGAAGAAGCAGCATGAGCAAAAGTAAAGGCACAGAGCATGGCTGAGAGAAGGCAGGTCATTCTCAGGTTAGCAAAGGTCAACTGATGAGCAGCAAAGGTGGGCAGTGAGACTCAAGAGGTTTATTGTGCCTATATTATGACATGCTAAGGAATACAAGACACAGAATATGCTCTGTAGTTGATGGGGCAGCAAACACTGGCTTTCAGACAGAAGTGGGTGGGAGTAATTAGGTCATGTTGGCTACTGTTTGTTAGTCATCTATTACGTACCTAGAACTTTACTTGGTTGTTTTAGTTGTTTTATGAACATTATTTTCTAGTCCTCACAACAAATTAGACATGCCTTTTCATGTGGTAAATCTGAGGCTCAGAGAGTTTAAGTAACTTGCTGCTCAAGATTATACATTTTTAAATTAAGCAAATCGCATGAAAGAAGCAATAGGATACTTAAAATATTAATTTCAGAGCACACCATTAAAGAATGGAAATGATGAGATCTGAATGTAAATTAGGAAGTTGATATAAGCACTCATGCTTTAAAAGGAAAATCGAGTAGAAACAATGACAGGAGAAAATCTGTGTTCAAAGCAAGGCAATTCAAGGTTTGGGCAAGTTTTCTTAATACGGGTATATTCTGAAATGACTTGAGTTTGTTAATAATAAGCAATGTTGCTTCTGTGTTTTAAAATTATTTTATGACTATATTACATGAGAGACAGTAGAGCAAAATAATTAAGCTCTCAGGCTCTGAAAACAGACTTGAATTTTCACCTCATGTTATTTAACCTCGGGTAGATCATTTAATTTTTCTGGCTCTAGTTTTCCTCATCTTTAAGAAAGGAGATTATTATTACCTATGTTATGGGGTTGTTTAAGCATGAAATGAAGCGTATACGTATACAGAACAGTGTTTGGCATAAAGGAGGAACTCAGTAAGTATCAGCCAGTGTTGCTCTGTGCCTTTGTCTTTATTTGCTAATTTTTTATTTAGACATTATCTGTAGTGTGCCAAGCACTGGGCTATTTTCCAGGGATACAAAGATGGATAACAGATGATTTCTGCCTTTAAACACATTTGATTTTTCCCACACTATAATCTGTGATTCAGCAGAAGTACTACTGACTGCATCTTGGTTAAAGCACTTTCCTGAACTATCTGGGCACTGGTGATGTAAAACCTCTATTCATAATGTTGCTCATTTGTGTAAGAACTGATTCCTCCATCCCTCCCTCCCCCTCCTCCAAGATGACGTTAAGATATGTTTAGCCTGGTTATCTATGAAAGGCGTTCCCCTTGACCCACCAGGCAATATTATAAAGTTAGCGAGATTATTTCGGTAGCCTCCTCCTAACTTGTGTGTACCAAACCCTCAGAAGTTGAGTTTTTGCACTGCTGGCCCAGGATTCTCTTCCTTGCTAATTCACTTCCCTCACCTATGATGTAATATCCATTATGAATGGATGCATTTCTCTCCCCAAGAGTATTTTATTTTAAACATGACTATAAAGCCTCACTTCCAGAAACTGGAGAGAAATGTTAATGACTAGAATTTTCAGTGCTGTACCAAACCAAGGAAGATGTGTTTTGAGAACATCAGTTATTCACTGCATCTTAAACCATACTGTAAAGTTACTCATCCCTGTGTCTCCCAATTTTAGGTTATGAAGGGGCGTCCAAAAGTAATTTTGCTCCTGATAGTATTTTCACTTTATTTGAAAGGATTCGCAAGCAGGTACTGCATTGGTTGAATAGACAAAAATTGTTGGTAGGGAGGCAACATGTCCCTTCGAGAGTACTCACAATACATTAAAATGGGCAGATGAGCAGTCATGACAACCTCTGAGAAAAGATTGAAAAGGGAAATGTCTACATAAATAAATGAGAAGGAAATGAAAACAGCAAGGCACTTGCATTTAAAATAACCAAGTAAAGTGACAAAATGATTCAGTGAAAAGCTAGTTTAATACCAAGGAAGCCTTTTAGAGTGAGTGGGATTGTTGGTGAATTGTTTACTTGTCAAAAAAGACAGACATTAGCATCCTGATCACTTTGCTTTCCAATACAGTCAGTATTTATTATAGGAAATGTGAAATGTTCAGATCATAAGGCATCGAATAGCAAACAACCATTACTGAAAGAGAAAGGTCAGATCCATAATAAAATAGATCTGAAGTTCTAGATTTAAATGTGAATGCAGGAATGAGACTGATACTCTAAGAAGCGGTTCTTTTATCATACATATAGAAGCTTGTGAAATGTGAATATTAAAAAAGTAAAAATCATATTTACTATGTAGCTGAGAATTTAAAAATCTTCCTATTAATTTGACATGCAAGATAGAAATATCAACAATGATCTTATTAACAGCAACAAATTAACACTATGACATTGTAGAGCTTAGAATATGGCTTTAAATATATTAAGCTAATTTTTTTTTCAGTGTAAAAAACCCCATTTTACATTTAACTTTAAATTCATTTCCTGAGAATCATTTATTTTCCTTGAGAGAAGCAAGTGATCCCTGTTCGCTTTTCTTCCGATAATTTTGGAAGAAATTAATGAAGTCCTGATTGGTTAGTTAGGATCTAACCAGGAAAAGAGAAAACACTTAAATATTGAAAACAGATGGAATTTAATCCAGGGAAATGATTACACAGATAATAAAGGAATTGAGACGCTAAACTGGGGATAGTGAATCAAACTGGAGATTAGCAGCAGCAGAGAGTTAAAGGCATCCACAAGTCTCAAGGGACAAAGGGAAGAGGTGATATTACTGCAGCCCAGAGTTCAAAGTTGCTGGGGAAGCTAGAGGTGAAAGGTAAAAGGAGCTGGATTTGGGGGCCAGAAAACCCAGCCAATAGGAGTCACACTATCATGGAACCAGCAGAGTAGAAACAGGGCAAGGAATGCAGGGTAAAGGTAAAAAGAGGTACAGAGTGGCACAACAGGAAAATAGAACGTTAAGTAAATAAGTTTTCCATTTTCATTTTCTTCACCCAAGTAATGTCACGCTAGACAAACTGATTTACTGATATTTTTAAAGGGAACCAAGTTTAGTTCCTGAGAACTGCATCCAACCAACGTCTTGTAAATAAATGAAATCGCCATTTTTGTTCCGCATACAATCCCAATAAACCAAATTTATAAACCCTTAAGAGTATGAGAAATTATCCACATTCATTTTGAAGTTAACCAAAAGTATAAAGAAAGTATCACTGTTCTTTTGGATTAGATTTAGACAATGATCAATGCTCTGTGTTCTACTCAGAATTGTGAACAGAGGTATATTCTGACATTCTAGAAATCATCATTCTTCAAAGCGGATAATAAAGCCATACTTTGAAAACTAGACTCAAGGGGAGGTGGAAAGATACACAATTTCCTCAAACAGACCACCACTCTATTCCTCCGTTTTGCTGTGAAATTACAACGGCATATTGCGAACTAATTGTAAAGCAACAATTTGTAGGCTCGTGTCTTTTGCAGCATGGAAGAGTAATTATGTATGATGATAGAAAAATATTTATCCATCCATTTTATGACCAGGTAAAACAAAACTTAATATATGTGAGCATGTGTGTGCTCTTAATTGTACTCAGGAGTTAGAAACTGCACCTAACCTAAACCATGCCCTCTTTTAATTTAAGCATTATAAAACCTCCCCATGAGCAGCCTCTGAAAAGTTAGCCTTTTCTCACACACAGACTGTTAATAATTAAACTGTCATTACCACCATGAAAATTTCCTCTAGTTTATGCCATTAAAACAGGGTTTTGTCTCGTTTTGGCTAACTACCCAGAAATTAAATGCATTAATATATTTTAAAAATTAGATGGCCGTAGAATGAAGTACTAGAGCATTTGTTTGATAGAAACCAGGAAGCAATGTTGAGGCCATCGCTACATCTCACGCCTCATACTTCAGATGGTTTCTGATAATAATAAAAAATAAACAAAGGCACAGAAACTAAGTCTTTCACTCTCTGGCACCTCACTAAGTACAAAACGTAGATAATATTTAACCCATTTTCTTTTCATGCAAGGAGAGAAGCACTTTAAAGGAAAAGGGCTCTTTGTCCATCTTAAGTTCTTTGTCTCAGACACACTCACCTAAAATTCAATGAAGAAACAGCATGAACTTTCCAAAACCATCTATCTTTTCTCTGAAATGGCAGTTGACTATGGCATTTAAAGACTTCCCAAGCACTTCATCCAGGGACTGGTAAATTCTATTTATCTGCAATGAGAAAAAAGACTTTTATTTAGTTAAGCAACTCACACTTACATGTTTATTATAGAAACAGGAAGCAGAACAGGCAGATCTAGAGCCTAATACTCAACTCAGAACCTTGGTTTTCATTTACTATAAAATATATTAGGAAAACGGACATTGTGCCAGAAGTTTTTTTACAGATGAGGATGGTGAAGCCCAGAGGGGTAAAGTGACTGTGCAAGATTAAGCAGCTGGCTAGTGACAGAGAGTGGCCTTGAACCCTGGGCTTCTAACCTAGCTCTGTGTTTTAAGTTGATTAAAAACCCAGAAGCAGAAAAATATGGAATCTTCTATGTTTTCCAAGTAGATAATTTTCTAGAATACTGTATCACCATAATTTCTACTAAAGCCAAGGAAGTTAAAGTTGAATCAGTTTCCTAGACCAGCATTTCCTCTACTGGTTTAAGCTTGAGCAGCCAGAAGTAGATATCCGTATGATTTATTATGTTGTATAGTAATAACATAAATAGTAAATAGTTCGTAAAACTGTTGTTTCTTAACGAAGCTAAACAATTTTATAAGCTTTTGCCTTCTGGAAAAAAATTACAGATGAGAGCTGAAAGAGACTGTAGTTTCCAATGCATAGATTCCCTGTCCCTCTTCTTGGTAGTGACCCAGCCACCCTGCTCGCCACCTCCCATCAGCTAGTCTTTCCCACCACTCTCTCTTCCTCTTTCTCTGTCCCTTTCCTTTTTGCCAACACACGAGCTGGTGTTACTTTCCCAGGGGCTAGATGGCTGGAAGCAGAGAAATCTGAAGCACAGGGAATTCCATGTTAAGATGAAGGAAAAGAATGGGGTGTAGAGGGGAATCACAGAAAATAAAGGGGAGAAGGCTTCTGCTGGCAGTGGGGGTGGAAAAAGAAGAGACAGAAGGAGCCTAGCTCCGCGCCCTGGGTGGGGCAAAGGTGCTTTCTGTCTCTAGCTCCATGCCTGTGCTTTCCTCCGCCAATTATTTTCTTTAACCAAGGTTATTTAAACTGATTACGACAATTATTTAGCTTCATGGCTTCGGGCAACCTATAATTTTAGGTTCATAGAGAAAATTCTGTGCAATAACTCCCTCTGCCTCTAATCCAAGTTCTCGGCTATATTCATTATTGCATGAGATTTATTTAACAGCAGATAAAGAAGTTTTCATGATGCAATTAACCTTGTTCTGCCATATTAGAATCCAACCATCCTTCCTTGTATTTAGATTCTAGGTACATACATGTATTTGGAATTCTTTGAATTAAATATATTATTACAATGGTAGTACTTTCAGATATCTTTTCTTTTCATAAAGTACATACTACTTTTTAAAGATTGAGGTTCACATAAATTAGACCTATGCATCTTGGAAAAAATTATATATTAAAAATATTATCCCCCCTCTCACGAATTCAGCTCTCCAAGCCATTGCATCAGAAAATACATGAAAAACCTTACAAATCTTATATATATATATGTTTATTTATAAAGTAACAAAGTTATATATAAAGTTCATACACATAGATAAACTTAGAGCCAACTATATTTGGCAATATAGTTGTTCAAGCAATCCTTTGGTATTGGCCTAGAGACATCTTAGTATCATGCTACCGGTTGCTGCCCCTCTACCTGGTAATTTTGGGAAGGATGTTTTGCATTTTAGTTTTTTTGCCCGGTTCCCACAGACTACAACAGACTGGGAGGAAGATGAGACAAGGCTGAAGTAGAGACTCTATGTTAAAGTACCCCACAGGGTGGCTCAGGTTGCACGCCTTAACTGAGACCTATGACTTCAGTAAAAGTTGCAACTTGGATAGTATCTTGATCGTAAGCCGGCTTTAGTTTTTGCTCTTCTTCCTTCACCAAGACGTGGCCTCTATTTCAACCTGTTTCTCACAGGCAGTAATCAAAAGCAGTTGCCTAATCTGGAGGCAGCTCTATCCCTAGCCCTCCTGGCTTCTGTCTACTGGGACATTTGGCAAAATCTAGAGACATTTTCTGTGGAGGGAGTGTAGCTGCAACTGGCGCCTAGTAGGTAAAGGTCAGGGATGCTGGTGGACATCCTATAGGACAGCCCCCCACGAAAAGTAATTATCCAGTCCGAAATGACAGCAGTGTATAAGTTAGAAACCCTGGATTGTTCAAGTCCCTATAATTCCTTATACCATCCTATAATTTTACTACAGGTCCCATCCAGACCTCTGGCCTACTTCCTCTTCTGAAGCCTGTTCCAACTCTACAGCACATCAAGCTCCTACCTGCACATCCCAGCTCTACTCTTAGAACTACTTTTCTATACCCAGACCTTGGTGTTTCCACACCACCCACCTAGTTCCTTTACTGGAGCACACATTACCATGTACAACTGCCATAAATTTTCTTCTCTCTCTCAGTGTGTGCAGCTGGAGGGCAAGGATTGGCTTATTTATTTCTTCATCATCTTTAATAAGTCATCTTTAATGATGAATAATCCTCACTGAATGTTTATTTGATTAATGGTGGAATAAGTAGCAAACACGAAGCTCAGTATTTTCTTACTTGGTTCCTACAGAGAGTAGTGGTATAAACGTATTCGGGTCATTTCACCAGATTATTAGTTACTGGCCTAAGAATGTCAAAGTGGCTTAGGAAGCTATGGCAAAGTGGTTTTGGAACGGTGGCCTTTGGACTAAATTCAGAAGCAAGGATATTAGGTCAGAGTCAGGGAGAGGACAGCTGGGAGATGAGCCTGTCTGCTTTAAGGCTGGAGACAGAATGCTCAGGGAAACCTGGGCAGCCTCTCTGTTCTAAGATTTGTTCTTGTTGACACAGAGCTCAGCCTGAGCACCAGGAAGGTCTTGGATGTCTGAACATATTTCCTATTAAGGGCAAAGATTGTTACTTCAAGCTCCTAGGATAAAGAGGCTGTAGCATTGGGACAGCTCAGCTGTGCAGACCCAGTGTGGCCCATCGCAGAAGGGCAAAACTGCACAGTCTGGGGGACCCTGCTGCCAGGAATTCTGGGCGCCAAGGGAAGTGCTGTTGAGATGGGCTCCATCTGCTCTGTGCTATTCAGCCACCTATATTTCTGTGAAGTTTTTAAGTCTTTGGCCAAATAATCGGGGAAATTAATCTGATCTCAGAGGGAGCTATGCTTCTGTAATTCCTTTCCATCAAATTATAGCCCAAGGATAGCAGAAACATCAGCTGTACTTTACAATTCTACAAACTAGGTACCTATCCAGGGAAAGCAGAGTCACAGCCTGCCTCACTTTTCAGTCACCTACTTTAATATTCCCTGTAATATATAACAGGACCACAAAACGATACTTGAGCTAGTGAAAGACAGTAGCAGAGTACTGTGTTTCGCTTTTGACATTTCACTAATAGACAGAGATAAAAAAAATCATACTTCATCACTTAGGTTAAAATAAGATAAAGCAGAGAGAACAATAACATTTGGACAAAATAGCTGTCAGAAGGAACGAACATATACATTCAGCCCTGAATGTAGAATATTTTTACACCATAAAGCTAGAGCCCTGCTGACATTCAGAAACACTTAAGAAAAAATATGGTGACTTGCCTGTCAACATCGGTTTAGCTGGGTACTCAGTCAACTCTTTAAAAGTGCTGAGAAGCAAGTAGGTGGTTTATAAAGGATTTCTCAGCTCTGTTTCCTACATGGAATTTTTTTTTTTTTTAGAGGCAATACCTTTGTGTTTCTTTTTGTTGCATCTTACTATAAGGTTAAGGCAGTTGCTAACCCAAATGATACTTGCATTTTAAAAGAACATTTTTTTCCCCATGTTTAATGACTTGCCCAGCACCTACAGATGAGCTCACAGAGGAGCCCAATCGCTAAAAACTCACTTTTTTTTCTTTTTCAAAGTAAGAAATGTAAAAAATATTAGCTACATATCAGTATTTATGAATAGGCAAGTTTAATTAAAAAATGGATCAAGAGATGACTGGAAACTTATAAAGTTGTTATTTTTAATCAAAGTAACTTTCCTTTTAGGAAATGTGGAAAATACAATAAATTATAAAGAAAACTCCTATCATCCACATTCCTCTACCCAGAGACAGTTCCTATGAACCTATGAAGACTTTTTACACATTACTTCCAATTATATATACACATATATGTATATGTACACGCACATATACACAATAATTTTAATGACCCTGAGGAATTATAAACTATATATATTTTTGTTTCAAGTTTTTTAAAAAACTCTTTGTGTCCTCTTATTATTAATAATCCATAAATATTCAGCATAAATACTTCCTCTTTTACGGTTATGAGATTATTTTATCAAACTTGCTAAATAAAAGATATGACTCATAGGAAGATATGGGACCTACATAACCATCAAATGCTTCTTTAGTTTATTTATGTACTTCATACATACGCAATCACACAGAACACATTTTTGCTACATTTCAGGGTAAGGCAGTAGGTCATCATTTTATTTTATAGTAGTGATATTTGGTTGTAGAAACCTCTAGTGTACAAAACCCATGTATCCCAAAATATCAGAAAATAATCATTTTCTCAGAATACACTTTTAAAGAGAATGATTAACTCATTTTGTATCTTTTAAAATATACAATTGCAAAATCACTTAAACAATCACTACACTGAAGTTCTTAAGTTTTCTTAGGTGGAAATCTCTTTTTAATTCTTAAGTAGAACAATATGCAACCGAAACACAGTACAGGCCGAAACTACCCCGTAGGGGTGATCTCATTAAAACTTTAAACTCTCCATGTTGAAATTAATTCCAAGTGAGGCAGAAAGATTAACATATTTTTACTGACCAGGAAAAAAAATGTTTACCCAAGTGCAGCCCTTTGTCTCTTGCAGCTCAGTACCCTTGCCAAATTGGTCATAAAGAATGATATTAAACTTTGAGGGTTAAATCAAAATGTGATGTGTCAAAGATTTATCCAATTAATTTTTTAAAGACAAATTTTTTTACTTAGCCACATGCAGGTATAGCATAGATT